GGGGCGCGGGGGCGGTGCCGCGCAGGCCCCGCCCCGGCAGCGCCATGTGCTGCCGCCTCCCGTCCTTCCCCGCCCCTCGCTGCTGTTAATCATTTTATTTATTTTATTTTTTGGTACTGACAAAGAAATGGCGTCGTCGGCGTGCTTGCCCCACCCATTGCTCGCTATATGTTTTTTGCTTTTTTGATTTTTCTCCCTGCGTCTGCCAGGAAACTACTCCTCCCCTCGCTGCTGTTAATCATTTTATTTATTTTATTTTTTGGTACTGACAAAGAAATGGCGTCGTCGGCGTGCTTGCCCCACCCATTGCTCGCTATATGTTTTTTGCTTTTTTGATTTTTCTCCCTGCGTCTGCCAGGAAACTAGGGATCTGTTCGTTTTCCGTCATTCTGCTGTGGAATCGACTGTCCAAGTGGCGGTGTCATTGGTTAATCCCCGGCTACGAACTCTGGGAAAGCAGGAAAAGTGGGGCACAATAAAAGAGGTTCTTCTTAACCAGCTAAAATATGTAATACCTTAAATATATGTGATATATTTCCAATAACTTTTCACTATCCATTTGGGAGTGAACAGCCACTGTGGCCTTCAACACAGTGGTGAGAAGGCAGCAGCCTCCCCTCTCCAGATCCCCTGAAGTTCCCATGGGAGGGTCCTGTGGTTGGCTTTGTCCTCGCAGCCCAGGAGACTTCAGGCTGGTTGCAGCTTGTCAGCGACAAGGATATTTTGAGCTGAACGCTGCGGAGTGACAAAGAAGGGCTAAAGATAGAGAAAAGACTGGGAAATAGGGAATTCAGACTTTGAAAGGAGCTGCACGTGTGTCATAATGAGCGGCCATTCCCACAGGTCTAGTTACAACCCCAATTTTAAGTGCCTAGTAAGAGAATTGGCCTGGCTCTTAACCTGCGTTCAGAATTGTGTCAGTATTGCATCACAGAAATATCGCTTTATTGCTAGGCTACTTCTTTACTATTGTTTATTACTTTATTACCGTTTTTACTAGGGAAGTGTATAATGTGTAGATCTGCAACTTGGCCTGTGCTCTGTCACAACACAGGGGTTTACGGGTACCTGCTGGAAGCATTTTTTTCCCCTTTCATTTCATCTTTGAGCATGTTTGGCTTTTCGTTTTAGCTTAATGCTCAGAGGAACCAAATCTCAAAAGGAGACCTTATTGTCTTAGTTAAGAGTGAGAGGTTCCTGAAATAGTTATTTTTCCAGGCTTCATTGTACAACTCTGGAATCTTTGTCTGCTTTAACAGGCGATGGGGAGGAGGCACTATGTGCATCCATTTTGTAATTTTGCTACCTTCGCATTTCAGTTTGACCTAGGAGATTTAGTCTTTTAACCGTAATCACTTTTGTATGTTTATCAATGTCCTAAAACGAGTGACTGCCAAACACGGGAAGCTCCACCAGCAGAGCGTGTTGAGCAGAGCCGCTCCAGGCTGCCCTGCTGAGGAGGAAGCGGGGTGCCTCACCGGTGCGGGTACCGATCTCTCACTGCAGTGTTTGCTCCCTCAGGCCTCACCGTGACCGCTGTGAAGGACTTCGGGGAGTGGAACTTGGAGGCGGGAGCGCTGGTGCTTGCGGACGGAGGCCTGTGCTGCATCGATGAGTTCAATAGCATCAAAGAGCACGACAGGACCAGTATCCATGAAGCGATGGAGCAACAAACCATCAGTGTAGCTAAGGCAGGGTAAGAGGCACTTTACTCTATGATGTGGCAAAATAACATAGGAGGTTTCTCCTGTCGGAGACATATTCGCCACGCAGATTAAATGCAAAAGCTTTGTGTGCTGTACTATATGGTTTTGTTTTTGAAGGTGCTTGATCTTAAACTAGGTGAGCCAGCGTTTCAAAGAGCTGTGCAATGGGGCAGTGACTGCTCATGACCAGAATAAATACGTGCCCTCTGCGCTATTTTATTTTCAATCTACCACAGCAGGGAAAGGCATCTTCCTACGAAGACTTTGTGGTTTTTTTGCTTGTCTTTTAGTGGGAGTTGTCATAATAGCCATAAGTGAAATTTGTATGGGAACTCAGACGCAAGGGCTTCTGTTTACCCAGAATTGAGAAATGCTGAATGGTAGTGAAGGAAGACCAAGAGACTTCCAGGCTGCGCAGTTTTATCTGCTGGGTGTGTTATGGATATAAACTCCAATTTTCAGCTTCTCGCTTTCCTTTTCAAACCAATGTGTGTGTTCAGATCTGCGAGTTTTTTTGTTTATTTCTGTTTCTTTTTGTTTGTTTGATTGGTTTTGTTTTTTCCTTTCTGCCAGTTTGATTTTTTAGCTCTAACTTTCTCATGTTTTTTTTTCTGTTCAAATACACCAAATCATTTGGTGGCTAGTATTAGTGGATACCAGCTGCTCCAAAGTATCACCTTTTTCATGTTCTGCCTTCTTGCCTTCCTTCGTGCTCTTACCCAAATCATGAGTTTTGGCTCTTCTTCCTGATCATGTTGTTTCTCTATTTTGACAACCTCCATTGAATCTCTGTCTTCATCCTCTGAGCTTTTATGCCATTTGGGGGGTTATTTTGTTTTTTGGCTCTATTCCTCCTTCCTTCTTACCTGCCTCTTTCTCTTGGAGAACATTCACGAGTTATTGAACATTCTGCGGGTACCTGTAAAACAGATCTGCTGCATCTTCCTTTCCCTAAGCTCTAACAAGATTTTTAGCCACATTCTGCTGTATGTTAAAAATGGTCTTGAATTTTGTCTGAGCTCACCTAAACATCACATACCCTCTGTGCAGCCTCTTAAGATTTTTCTTCTCTTCTGGCAACTTCTGAAAAGTGACTGTGTGCTGTCAATGCAAAAATCTGTAGCCTCAAGAACGTGAAATGAAAGGGGAAAATAACAGAAGAAGAGTAAAAGAGTAAAATACAAGTAACTGACAGTTTTATTACATAAAATATTTCTACATATATACCACATAGTATATTTCCATGCTCTGTGTAAGCAATTCCGTCCAGGCATCATGGAATTTCTCCAGTTGTCTCCTTTGGGACAGGCCTGCAGTTGACTTTGTGCAAGTCTTTTTGGACTTCCTTCCAGTTTGGGCTCACTTTTAAGGACTATGTATAGTAAGTTAAGTCGTAACTTAGCACAGAAGGATTAATTGCTTTGTTAACTTGAGCCCTTATTTTACTCTATGGGAGCTGGGGTTCCTTTCCCATCGAGTGTACTCTAGCAGAAAAGCTGTGATCCTTCCTCGCCGTTACAGAAGAGCTCTGGACATGAGGCAACAGTTACCGTGGAGGTGGCCAGAAATAGTTCAGTGTCCATCCAAAGTTTGCATCCACTC